CAGAAAAGAATGAAAATAATCTAGTTTACACATTACTATGAAACACATCAAATCTATCAACTTAAAAACAAAGCAAAAAAAACCCCAAAGCTATACCCATCCTAAACTTAAAAGTCTGAAGTCAAGATACCAAAGAAAACTTCAGTGCTACACGTTTTAATAAATCCGATGCTGTCATCCTGTGAGGTAGTTATTAAACTAGAGGAAATATGCACATTCTGAATCCTCAAGCACAATGAATAATACACAGAAGTGTTGACTCTTGGGTTTCTCAAATGTAAATGTGCCACAGGCACACAGTCTCATATTACAAAATAAATATATGGCAATCGTTTCTAGGAGGATTTGAGAAAAGTAGAAACTCATGGCCTAAAAAAAACAAAAACAACCTAAAATTACTATCTCTATATTGCTTTTCTTCAGGAAATACACTACATATTTTTGGCTAGATCTTATAATACGATCCCAAATGAAATCGTATGCACTTGAATCAAGTATTAAAGAAATGTTAAAAGTAATTTAACCCTCCTCCTCCATTTCCACCAATTCTGAAGGGCTCCACTGTGGGAAACTTCCTAATAGGTGAAAGTTAAAGTACCACGGTTTGAGATTTGCACTCCAGTCTACATAGTAGATCACTTCAGAATAGCTTTTACTGATCAAAAACTCTCTACCGCGATTCTAGAGACCATCCCTAACAGAAAATACATCTAGAGAGAAGGGTAAGAGTTTGTCTGAAGTCCTACGGCTTTTGTGAGAATAAAAAGCATCTTTATCCATTACAGTATCATACCATGTGATCTAATTTATATGATCCTCATTAACCTTAATGAGTTGAAAACTTAAACCTGTAGTTAACTACTACCTGTAGTAGTTTCACTCCTCCTGCTCTGCCCTCCACCACTCCCCCCAAGACCTCTGGTAACCAGTGTTTTCTATCTGCCTCTGCAGTAAGGTGACCAGACGTCCTACTTTTGAACAATTTTCCCCGTGTCCCGTGGCGTTTTGAAAAAGCCCCAATTTTTGGAAAGAATGCACGACAAGCTAGGGTATACGGTTTTCAGCTGCCATGTGGCTATTTCGTCAGGATATGAGTTTTATCAATGGTGTCCCGCTTTACCAATGTTAAAATCTGGTCACCTTACTCTACAGTTGCCTTTTCTAGAATGTCACAGTTGGAATCACAGGCTGAACAATGAACTCCTAAGGTCCCCACCCTGGTTCCTGTCTTTTTTGTGGCTTAATAGCTCATTTCTTCTTCTCCTCCCAGAGCACTTTCCATTATATGGCTGTAGTACACGTCCAGGCACATCTTGAAGGACAACTTGGCTGCTTCTAGAACTTGCCAACTATGAATAGTGCTGCTATAAGTTCATATACAGGTTTAAGTTTTCAACTCATTAAGGTTAATGAGTAGCATATAAATTAGACCACATGGTAAGATACAGTTTAGCTTTGTGAGAAGCTGTCAAACTGTTTTCTAAAGTTGCCTATCACTCTGTAATTCCACTAGCAATAAATGAGAATTCTTACTGCTCCACATCCTAGCCAGCCTTTGATATTGTCATTAAAAAAAAAACACCCTTGAATTAATTGATTTTTGAATGTTCAACCCATTTGGCATACCTGGACTATATGCCCACTGGATATGGTATATAACACAATAATATTTTGTTGAGGATTTTCACACAGGACCTTGAGTACATCCCGACTGAAGTTGAAGATCCCATCAAGAAAAGATTTAATGAATCAGAGACTAATGATTGAAGATCAGATGAGCTGTGGAATGCCTTCAAAACATCATTCATGAAGAAAGCATTCAAAAGTCAGGAAAGAAAGAAATGGACAAAGTAGATGTTAGAAGAGGCTTTGAAACTTGCTCTTGAACAGCGTAGCTACAGCAAATGGAAGAAATGGTGAAGCAAAAAAGCGTGAGACAAGAGGACAATTGCAGACCTAAAGTTAGAAAATCAAAAGGGAAGAACACACTTAGTATTTCTCAAGCTGAAAGAATTGAGAGTAATATCCAAAACTTAAGTTAAGTATTCAAAGTTTCTATGAGCAAAATATTAAATGATGCAGAAGGACCACACAAAGATGAAAAGTATACACAAAGTCACTGTACCAAGATGAATCTTTTTAGGAGGAAGCATATGATTAAGAGCTGATGGTATTGAATGAAGAAGTCAGAGCTGCATGAAGGGCATTGGTGAAAAAAATTGAAAAGAGCTCCAGGAATTGACAGAATACCAGTTGAAATGTTTGAACATGAAACACATGCTGGAAGCACTCACCTATGCCAAAAAAAATTGGAAGACAACTACCTGGCCAACCAACTGGAAGAGATTCGTATTTGTGCCCATTCCAAAGAAAAGTGGTCAACAGAATGTGGAAATTATCAATCAATATCATTAATGCAAGCATAATTTTGCTAAATATAATTTAAAAATGGCTATAGCAGTACATCGACAAAGAATTCCCAGAAATTCAAGCCACATTCAGAAGAGGACATGCAACAAAGGGTGTCATTGTTGATATCAGATAGATCTTGGCTGAAAGCAGAGAATACTACAAAAGATGTTTACCTGTGTTTTATTCACTATGCAAAGGTATATTCGACTGTGTGAACTGGATGGAATTATGGGTAACACTGAGAAAAATAGTAATTCCAGAACACTTCGCCGTGCTCATATGGAACCTGCAGATCGTCCAACAGGCAATCATTTGAAGAGAACAAGAGTATATTGTATGGTTTAGAATTGGGAAAGAGTGTAGTATATCCTTTTACCATACCTATATCTGTAAACTGAGCAAATAATCCAAGAAACTGGATTACGAGGGAACTTAAAAAGCTCAAAAAATGTCATGGAAAAATGGAAAATATAAATCTTCTATGAACTTCTGAAGCTCCCTTTGCATATAAAATCAAACACAACATGAGGCTTGGAAGAAGACTCATTAATAACCTGAACTATGCAGACGACCCAACCTTGCTGAAACTGAAGCAGTTTAGAAACACTTACTGATGAAGATTGAAGACTTCAGCCTTCAGTAAGGATTGTACTTCAAGGTGGGGAAAAAGAAATCCTCCAACTGGACCAATAAGCAGCAGCATAACAAGTGGAGACGAGAGTGACACTGTCGAGGAATCCATTTAATCCGGATCCCCAATCAATGCCCAGGGAAGCAGCAGTCAAGAACTCAGATGGTGCACTGCACTGGGCAAAAGAAAGACTTCTTTAAAGTGTTCAGGTCAAATGTACCTTACCCAGTCATGGTATTTTCAGTCATGTATGCATAAGACAGACAATGAATAAGGAGGAAGAAGTGATTCCTGTAAAGTTATGATAAAGACATTGAAATACTCCATGGACTTGCGGAAGAGCAAGCAGATTCATATCTTGAAGGAAGTACAGCCAGAATGCTCTTTAGAAGCGAGGACAGTGAAACTGTGTGTCATGTACCTTGGGCATGTTAACAAGCTGGACCAGTCCTGGCAAATGACAGCGTCGTGGTAAGGTGGAGGGTGAAACCCAGGAAGCCCTTCAGTGGAGGACTGACGCAGTGGCTGCAGCAGTGCGCTCTAGACAGCAAGGGCGGTTTGAGGGCACAGGGCCAGGCGGGCTTCCTTTCTGTGGTGCCTGCGGTGTCGATGAATCAGAACTGACCCACCCTAACAGCAACACTATGCTCATGAGAGAGACTCAGCTGTAAAATGGTCTTTTGAAAATGCAAACACACTGAGAGATAGCAGAGGTATCAACAATTTAAATATTAAAGGGAATTCATTTATTCAAATTGTTCCTCTTCTGAAATGAAAATTTTTCATCCACTACATTGAGACAAGATCTTATTGATCAGAGGGAGAACATGTGACACTTTGGGGTAAAGACAGACTTTGGCCAGGTGCAGAAGCTCAAAAACATGGAAGGATAGTTTAAACTACTTTCCTAGGTTTTGAAGTTGTGAGTCAGAAGAGGGAGAAAGAAAGAACTTGCTCAAGAAAGAGAACGCTAAGCTATCTGGGTGCAGAGAATGGCCAAGGATACACGCAGTTTCCTTCATGGGTACTGTAAAGTACAATAGCCTTGCCTGAATTAAGGTAATGTGCTTATGTACTGTCTCCTAAGTCAGGGGAGGAATGGCTCTGTGGTATAAAAGATTTTCTCTACTTTTTTATTACCAAAAGGACCGTAAGGACACCCCTGTCCTTGTTCACAGGGGCAGCAGCTTAGTTTAGAACTCCTGTTCTAATTTCACCAGAAATTGGCTTAATGCTATCCTCTGACTCAGGTCTGAGTAAGGACAGCAGACATGGTCACCACGTCCTCGTTCCCACTGGCCCAGGAAAGCAGCTGAGTCTGGTGGGCTACATTTCTGTGCTTAAAAGCCCCACCAGTTTGTGGTCCTTGGCTATGACAATCCTAGAAAACTAATACATCCCCTTCTTCAACGAGCCGCCTTGTCCTATTTTGACTCATGCTGACCTGAACTCTGTATTTTGCAATTACTCATGGACTTCTTTGCCTTCCCAATTCAACTGTGAGGTCTGTGATGGTCCCCAAAATGCCTATAAAGCACTGCCTTCTGCAAAGTAGAGGTTAAATAAATGTGTGCTGATTGAATTAAAGGAGCTGACTAGAACTCAGTGTTTCAGGAGGAAAGGGAGACTCACACATCAAAACCAAATTCACTGCCATTGGGTTGATTTGACCCACAGGGATCCTGTAGGAGAGAAATGCTGTAAATCTTCACAGGAACAGGAAGCCTCTTCATTTTTATGGCTGTAGATCTTTACGGGAACAGAAAACCTCATCTTTCTCCCAAGACACCTGGGGGGCTTGAACCACTCACCTTGTGGTTAGCAGCCCAACACATAACCCACTGTGCCACCAGAGTTCCAGAATAGGTATAAAGAACAAAGAACTTAATACCAATACCCAATCCCATTCAACCAACTGTGTGGCAAAGTCATCTAAAGTGCAAAAATGGTACAGTACCTGGAGGAGACTTTCTATGGCATGGAAGCCTCTAATTAAATTCAGAGCCCCACATAAAAGGCTAAGGATAAATGCCACAATTCCAGACAGAGTTGCAGGTTCCAGTCGCTGATGAGCTGGAAAATAAAAAGGTTAGAAATAAACTTACAAATTAAAACAGACTCACTGCTCAGTCTCAACTGGTCAAAGACAGATTAATCTTCGAAAAGTATTTAACAATATTTGTAAGTAATTAAGTATTACTAAAAACCGAAGAACATTTGACAACAAAAAAGCTTCCCATCCTCAGTTGAGTAGATGTTTCCCCCCCACATTTTAGCAAAGTCATCTAACTTGTGTTTGGGTGAGATGGTGGTACGGAATGCCTACATCTAGCAGTACATCATGTAGGAAAACCTTATTGCCTAAATGTCTACTATTTGCAACTAGGCGCACATGTTTGCAAAGGTGACGTTCCCTGGAAATCCAGTGCACAACCCCTACTTCTTGGGGAATGCTTAGAAAACATTTGTAAGGACAGAGGTGTGCTGTTGGCACAGCCCTCCCTCGTTTCCCAGCTGGAAGGACTCTGCGCATCCGCGGAGGCTCATCTCATCTGGAATCTGCACTCTCCAGCAGGACCGGCCTGGAGCTGTGAAGGCACTGTCCCTCTGAGCAGCACTGGGACCACTGCTGGGACCCTGGGACCCAGCAAGCACACTTGTTCACTGCTGAGGCTTCAGTCCAGAAGATACCCAATCACACAAGAGCTTCTCCTCCTCATCATTTTGCTCTTAATAGAACTAACATTGGATCTAAATGAAAACACAAGACTAAATACATAGTCATCTACATGACAAGGGAGACGGGAAAAGAGAGGACAACAAATCACATTTAGATCATTTAGTTAACGCATTGAAGTGTAAAAGTGCCAACAATGAAGTTGATGAGGCAGAACTTAATATAAGAAAGAGCTAAATCTTCACTACTTCTATTCAGCCATCACAGCAGAAAACCTTGCCTAAACAGTTCCTAAAGACACCAAAACTCACATATCATACACACACACAAAGGATTTATTTCTCTAGTTCAGCAGAAAATGCTAATATGGGAATAACATTAAAAAAAATTCTTCTGTGCCCAAGTTCACTGCCAGGTCTCTCAATCAATTTCCTTGAAATTTTATTATGAAAATGGAAAATTAAATGTCATTATAAAGTATTGATACCCATCAGTAAAGAACAAATTTCACAAATTTTTTTTTTTTTACAAATTTCACAATTTAAAAATCTATGCAATTGGTCTATCAGTTAGTCATGTTTCCCATTTCCTCGCAGCACCAAGGGCTTCAAACAAACAACAAGAATATGTAATATGGGTCTCAAACAGAAAACCACCTGAATTCAGAAAAATTATGTAAATCACACTTCAAAAGTGTATAAAACAAGCTGACCATTTAAAAAAATTCCAAATAATACTTGGCATTATAACCAAAAGACCTTACTTATTATGGTCATGTACAATACGGCCATTCTTAAATGGAAAAAAATTGCCATACTGATGACTATCTACTTAAGAAATGAATAATAAGACTATGTAAATGAAATATGTATTAAGTTTGTAACACTTGCCTTTGGCCTTAGAGCAGACTCATTAGAATTACAGTACACTATAAAGTAACTCATTCAAAATGACCAAAAATATTTTCAAAGGCATGAGAGCAAGAGATAAGCTTACAGATGAGATATGCATTTGTGTGGAAGGGCTGGAATGGTGCCAAATCACTGTGGGAAAGACAAGATCCCTTCCTCCTGTCCTGCCCTCTTGCCAAGACTTGCACCCTGACCATGGTTATCACGAGAACTATCGGCACACATCCGAGGATGGCACTCCTTAAGGAGTTCTCATTTTAACAGACTGCACCAGACATGTAACTGCATCTTATATGTATTATGGTATAGATGCCTATTTTTTTATATGTCAGTAGGACCGATTTTAGACGTGTTGTTTGCACACTTTGACATCTAGAAGAGCAACAAATGAGAGCCAGTGCAGAAGAATTGTTTGCTGACTCCAAGTTCAATGTTGCCTAGTCCACTTCCTCCCTTCATCACCTACCACGTGCTATCGCTCCTTTTCCGTGGTCTCCTTGAACCCAATGAGGAATGGCATTTTCATATCAAAACTAAAATTTTCTCAAAATGTACAATGATTGATGGAGATGACAAAAGTCTCTAAAAAACCAGCGAGAAAATCCCTTGGAACCAAAGGTCTGATTATGTGGCCGTTAGGTATCACCTAGTCGGTTCTGACTCAGAGTGACCCTTTGTTCAAAAGAAGGAAACAGGGCCCAGTCCTGCGCCGTCCTCACAACTGCTGAGTTTGAGCCCACGGATTGCAGCCACCATATCAATCCACTTGCACGGAGGGTCCGCCTCGCTTTCCTCGCATGAGGTCCTTTCCCAGTGACTGCTCTCTCCTGATAACATGTCCAAAGTAGGAGAGACAGTCTCCTTCGCCTCCTTTCTAACCAGCATTCTGCCTGTACTTCCAAGGCAGGTCTGTCCATGGTATTGATTACAGTGAATTAATAAATGCATCCAGCAAATACTTTGGGGCACGATTCTGGGCAACGGGCTATATGCTTTAGGAGACAAATCTTTTCAAGAGAAACAGGCAGATAAACATATCAAAGTGATACTCTAAATGAGGTAAGGATTTCGGAAGAGGAACAAGTAGGAGGAAGGTGGTGAAATTACTGGATCTTTAAGAAAGATAATGTGGCTAGCTGCCAGTGAGTCCGCCCCCACTCGTGGTAACCTCATGCAGCACAGGATGAGACTGTCTTGAGTGAGCCAGGAACAAACAGGGAGAAGTGCACTCCATGCAGAGAGGAACACGCGCATGCAGACAGTCAGCAACAGCACAACCACCACTAGCAATGCCCCTCCTCTAACCGTGGTGCACTCATGCGGAGAGATTTCATATACAGGATTTCATTTCGTCCTTCTAACAACTCAATGCACAAGGTACGAACACTATGCTGGCTTTCAAATGAGGAAACTAAGGTTTAGGGGAAATATATAATTTCTGCAAGATCATAAAATAAGTGAACTTGGATTTAAATTCAGATCTAAAAACCCAAACCCATTGCCACTGAGCAGATTCTGATTCATAGCCGCTGAATACAGGACTTCCGGGTCTGTACACCTTTATGGGAACAAGATAGTCTCACTTTTAGCACCCTCAGAGAGCCGGTGGGTTTGAACTGCTAACCTTGTAGTTAGCGGGCCAACACTTACCAGACAGTGTCAGCAGAACTCCTAAATCTAGATAGCCTGCCTCTAACTTTCATACTCTTAACTTCTCTGTTCACAGAGACTCCACAGGACAAAGAACTATCCTGTGGGTTTCCAAAGCTGTAAGTAACTCTTTACAGAAGCAGAAAGCCTCATCTTACTCCAGTAGCGACTGATGTGCGCGAACTGATGATTTTGCAGTTAGCAGTCTAACTAGTAGTCTACTGTGCTACCAGGCCTCCTAAAAGGTTGCTATGAATCAGAATTGACTTGACAGCAGGGAGTTTTTTTAATAGGTAACCTCTGCTATTGGCCATTGGTAGTTGTTTTGTTTAGATCCAAGGGATGCTTGTGCAGTACAGTAGAGGGAATTAGATTAAAAAAAGGGAGGTTGAAGCAAATTAATAGACAGCCATGACACTATTTTTAAAAATCATTTTATTCGGGGTTCGTACAACTCGTATCACAATCCATTACATCCACTTGTTGCCATCATCATTCTCAAAACGTTTTTTTACTTGAGCCCTTGGTATCAGCTCATTTTTTTCCTCTCCCTCATGAACCCTTGATAATTTATAAATTATTATTTTGTCATGACTTACACTGTCTGATGTCTCCCTTCACCCACTTTTCTGTTGTCCATCCCCAGATATGTAGATAATATATGTAGATTATTGTGATCAGTTCTTTCTTTCTCCCCCCACCTTACCCTTACCCTCCTGGTATCTCTACTATCATTATTGGTCCTGACGGATTTATCTGTCCTGGATTCCCTGGGTTTCCAGCTCTTATCTGTACCAGTGTACATCCTCTGGGCTAGCAGGATTTGTAAGGTAGAATTGGGATCATGATAATGGGGGGAAAGAAGCATTAAAGAACTAGAGGAAAGTTGTATGTCTCATCGTTGTTAACACTGTACCCTGACTGGCTCGACTCCTCCCCTCGACCCTTCTGTAAGGGGATGTCCAGTTGCCTACAGATAGGCTTTGGGTTCCCACTCCACACTACCCCTCATTCACAATGACATAATTTTTGGTCTTTGATGCCTGATAACCGGTGATCCTATCGACACCTCGTGATCACACAGGCTGGTGTGCTTCTTCCACGTTGCTTCTGAGCTAGATGGCTGCTTGTTGATCTTCAAGCCTTTAAGACCGTAGACACTGTATCTTTGAATAGCCAGGCACCATCAGCTTTCTTCACCACATTTGCTTATGCACTGCTTTTTCTTCAGCAATCACCGTAACACTATTCTTATACTAGAACCACACTATCTTTAATATTATACCTTGGTAATATATTTTGAAATAGAGAAATGTGAATCTTTTAATTTTCTTCTTTAAGACCCTTTTGCTATGCTTGGTCTTATGATTCAACAATGAAATTTAGAATTAGCTTGCCAGTTTCTACAAATAAAAGACAGCTGGACTTTTCATACGAGATTGCATCAAATCTGCCTATCAATTTCGGATTATTACCATCTTAACATGGTCCCTGGGCAATACAAATGATTTATGTTCAGCTAATAACCAAAAGGTTAGATATTTGAATCCACCAAGCAACACGTATAGAAGAAAAGTCTAGTGATACATCTACTTGGGTCAAAAGGGTAATGTGAGTGGTGCCACTCCCATTTATAACCCTTGATACTTGGATCCAAGAATCCTACCTATGGAAAAATAACACTATATATTGGACACTGGTTTAGAGCCTATACAAGCCACCTGAAGACCACCACCCCAACCCTGTTTGGTATTGGCACCAAGTTGGAACTGTAATTGGGTCTTTAGAAGGCCATTCTATTGTTCTATTAAGACAGCTTCTTCAAGATAGTGGGG